ACCCATACCTACTGGCAAACGCTCCGGCATTCCGATGCCGGAAAATCACAGATACACGAGTGCTGATACGACTCTCCGTCATCAAAAGGCAAATGCTTCGCCTGATGACACGGCACCCATCTTGGAACAGTAATCAAGTTTGTCAACAGCAAGTACCAACAGAGATCGGTATCCAAAAGTATAACAATCATAACAATACGGCCACAACAGCTACAATGAAATCAACGACAAGAACGACGACAATAACTACCAGCCCAACTAACCGGTTGATGCCCACGGCTGCTCATCGATTGGGGCAGGCCATTTGATGGCAGGTATGCTTCCAGCAAAAGCGGTCGTACAAAATGGAACAGCAGGACACATAAAAGCCATTGGTAATGAAAGGAAAATCTCTTATAAAGCAGAAGCCAAACAAGTTCTTTCACATTCACCTATACCGAGCAGTATGAAGCGAAATATCACCAACAGTAGTAATCAATTGCAACAGCAATCTGCTTTGCATAATCAACCCTCGCAGCAAGCGAACGTTATAAGGCATGCGCTGCCTGTCACCCCCACAGTTAGCTTATGAAATCGCTGACTTGATGGAAAAGACCACAAATAAAGTTTCTGAACGTTAACAACAACAAAATGCACCTCAGGGCAAAAGTTCTTCATTATGGAGAGAACATGTCCATAAGGCCATGAAATATGATGCATTGAAAAAAATCTACAGGTAGCCCGGAAACTGTATGTGATCACCGTCTGTTGCCAGGAGAGTAGACAGCTGGACGGTCCGGCCGCCGACGTACCCTGACGTCAGTTCTGAGGTAGCCTCTCACCTACATAAATATCAACGATCACAGATGCCACGGCCGCAACAAACTCACCCTAGAAATTGAACACAACGACAATCACAGCCACAACGAACTACGGCCGTATCAACTGCTACGATCACATCATAGTAACATCACCAATATTACCCAACCAACATCCACGACAACAACTGCTCTCACCTCAACCACCAGCAGGAACATGGCAACCGCCGCCGTCAATGGTATTGGAAACCGCTGTTACCTCGACAGCAGCAACAACTACCACAACAACAAACAACGACGATACGTACCAGCCTAACTAATCGGGTGATGCCCATGCAGCAAAAGCATGCACTAACTTCACCACCCTCATCTTTAACTTATCAAATCGCTGCCGTGATAGAAAGGTCACAAACCAACAACGACAAAAGTCACCCAAAGCCAAGAATCTGTCAACCAATTGCGAGCCCACGGTGGCAAACGTTTACACAACCCGTACCTCTCCAGCCAACGGTCCGGCATCGCAATGACGGAAAACCAAAGATACACGAGAGCTGATGGGACGTTCGGCGATCCGATACTCCGATGTCGGAAAGCCAATAACAGAGCGTTAGTAGGACACTCGACCAATGGGAGGCGAAGGGGGAAAGTGCTGGACTAAGTTAGAGAGTAAGCTAATTTAGGATAGAGGATAAGAATAGAATAAGAATAGGGTAGGGATAGAATAAGAATAGTATAAGAATAGATTAAGAGTAGAATAAGAATAGAACAGGAATATGATAAGAATAGGATAAGAATAGAATAGGGATAGATTAAGAATAGGGTGGGATAGTTTTAGTTTTTGGTTGGGAGTCATATTCGAGAAGTCGTCGAGTCTGGCCTCCCGAGAGAGTCGAACGTGTTTTGATAATAATAAAATAAGAAGTAAAATATAGATCCTTATACAAATTTTCTTGTGTTTTCCTGGGTCGCTGAGCTACTCCAGCCCCAGCGAATGGGTCGCATAGTCCCTGACAAAGCATATTACTGCTACCTAAGTTCATGGCTTTATTTTTAATCCATTAGCCTGGTTTTCGGCTACTCGTTTTCGTCGGCCGGCAGCTGCATTACGCACCACCAATGAGCACTTGGGTTTTGTCTCTACAGAAAATTCTTTTTTTTTGGGGAAAAATCAATTAATTGGAATGAACTGGATTTGGGATTTCCGTAACTTTCTTTTGAAATATTTAGTGTCGGTAACAATTTGTATGAAACCTTTCGTGGTCTCATCATAAGCAGCTAATTGCCTTCATTAAATCTGCTGACTTCTCTTTTTAAGTATCATAATGGTAAGCTTTGTCCGATCTAATCACATTTTCAACAGTTTTTATAACTCCATAAACCTATAATTCCTATATAGCCATAGCTGAAGATCAATCCTTTGGTTTAAACTCTTCAATGTAGGGTACTGCTTTGACTATGTACATCGTCAAATCGAGAAAAATACTCATCATTTCATCATCGTCAAATCATATTTGGTTATCATCATTAGAATTGTATCCCATGAGAAGAGATAATCATCTCCGGTTCATTGTTTAGTCACTTTCAATCATCACGTGATCGATATCTTCTTTTTGAACTGTTATCATCCTGTTGTTTGATCATCGTGAAAGCTTAAAAGGATTGTGTAATAAAAACCCGTACGTCCCTTCTTGACAAGCCCGGTCCATTTACCACTTACATACAAGAAAAAAAAATTGTTTACTTACAAACAGCTGAACCATAACAAATATTTTGAATTTATTAAAGGTAAGTAAATGGTTTTTTTTGCTTTTGTTTTTACTCCAATCGTCTAACTAAAATTCCTAATTCGCCAAAGCTTGTAAACGATTATGTCCCGTCAATTTTTCCATGTATCATCATATATTGTCGCTAATCATTGATAAAACGCAAAGGGTCAACGAAGGATCCATTTTACTAAACAAAATCAAAAGAGATAAGTAAAAAGCTCGTATTAAATAAGCAAGTAATGTTCAGAAATGTACAAACGTCAGAGGGATCGCGGCTTTTGCTCGTATTACGTTACTTTGCACTAGAGGAACAAAGAGATTACGGAAAAAGGAATATTGTGAGACGTAGAAGGGCTTTATGCTTTAAATCCTCTTATGTTAGCTGAAAATGTGTACGTAAGTGATTTTATACTTTCGTCGACGATGTAAATTAAAATAAACATTTTATTGCTTATAGATTTCTGCAAAAGTCTCGTGTGTGTGAAGAGGCTTTTGAATACGTTTTACGAAAAAGGGGTTCGAGTGATGGCACGAGAACAACCTATATGTTTCCGGTGATCCCTTTAGCCGTGGCTTTGGAATTACGGGGTTTTGTTAAGCATTGCACAGGGCAACACTACTTGTTGTAGCAGAAATGATATAAGAGCCGAAACAAAACTGCACGGAATGAATTCTGGGGTATTAATGCTAACGCCAAGGAGTGATTCTATAAGAAATTTGGTGTTTTTGGTGGTAACTAGCTTTTTGTTGTGCTTTTTCTTGTTCTTGAGACATGCTGTTGTAGTAAAAACTATAATTGTAATATTCGTTTTAATACAATAAATAATGCTCTCATTTTCCTTGAGGTTACTCTTTTCTTGTTTAACTTATTAAACTTTTACTGTCAAATACAATAAAATATGTAACTTTATAATTTTTTGTTTTTTTTTGTTTTAATTTTATGTAAATATATCACAAATTTTGTCTTGTAATTTTTAACCCTTTTAATCCTTTTTTTTAAATTTTAGTTCACAATTACACACTTCTTACAACTTCTTTACGTACCTACAAAATGGCTTTGTTGAAACTAATTGAACTGCATTGACTTGAATTTTCGCTAAAACGGCTAAATGCCGTTACTGTATTTTGATTTTACATCGTTTATTAAAAAAAATTCCCTCTTGTTGCACAGAGTTGCAAAGTTCCTTCCAACCATCATGACCTTATATTTATTGAAGTGATCGGATGCGAAGAATGAAACCACTTGTTCGTAAGCCTACTCAAAACAAAGAGCGTTCCTTAAGCTGCAAAGGCAAAGATAAGCTTAGACTCACTCTCGTCAGTGGTGCTTACAAGGTTACGGTTTTTAGCATCATCTTCATCATCTACGCAAGCCTTAGAGGCAACTGAAGGCTTAGGCTTGTCCATAGTCGGCTTCTCAGATTGTATTGCAGCGCTTGCTACACAAATTGCTCTTATTGCGAGCGTAATTAACTAAATTCGCTAACCGGTATTTTTCGAGCGCACACACTGGTTGGCGCGAGGCAGCTAAAGCTTCGAGATATTTTAAAAATCTAAGGAAGGAGGTAAGCAGAATTTTCTTCTTGTATTCACTTCAATATATGCAATCGTATATAGATTTGTTTTAAACTTAGATTACCGTTATCTGTTGTTCAGTTTCCAATATAGCGGGCATACGATGATGCAACCACGACATGATTTCGTTAGAGTGGTATGTTATTACGCTGTAACTATAAATTCTATCGCTTTGTTCATCTTGCCAAACATATACAGTTGTATGCACAGACGGAACACCAGACCTATCATATTTTCGTAAGTCCGTAAAAAATGTAAATTGTTTCATGAACTAAAGCAATGTTTTTGTTTATACACATATAAATACGTAAGGTTTCCAACCATATGAAAATGATGCCAATAAAATTTCGATTTCCTTCATCAAAGCAATTTATTTTGTCGACGATGTCGACGCGCCACTAGATATCCCCCATTTAATGCGAAAAAGTAGGGAAATAAAAACTGACATATCTTTTTCACTTTCACATTGAATTGTATTGAAATGAATAATATAAAGACTAAATCTAGGACTTGTTTGCGATTCATTTTAAAACATTAACCATTGAAACATTTCTTAGAAGTAATTCATGCATTCATTCATTCAATTATTCATTCATTGCATCAATATATTACATAAATGTATAACATTAAATAAAAATAAAATAAAATTCAAAATTCAAGTTCATAATTCAAAACTTTTCTAAGAAGTGAAAATATTAAACCATCTGAATTATATGGCATTGTTTCACTTCATTTCATTTACTAACAATTTTAGATGACTTTTGTTTTATTTACGTTTGTATGATTTTGTTAATATTTGTATCATTGCAAACAAAAAAACATCAAATTTGCCCCATATTTCCCCATTATATTTTCGAAATAAATTTCGAATGGAGGAAATCATACCTAGCTCTCAACCAAATAGTTCTCGAGGTACGTCTTCCAAATCAGAGTTGGTTAACTAAAAGATGTATAATTGGAGTCCTGATCTACCATCGGACTTAGCTCAAACTAATTATTAGAATTTTTTAAATTATAATAACCGGAAGAATAAAAAACAATCCAGTTTGTCGAAGTTATGAAGGTCGAGCTTTCAATATTTTAGGCATATATTTATGTATGGTTTGTATGTTATCATAATCTGCTGCGCAGTATTATATTCAAACAATTACAGTGCATACGTATGAAATGCATTGTCAGAGCATACATATGTGAAAAGTAAACAGTTAACGCACTTTGAGCAATAACCCATATGATATGGTAAATTGCATAAAATACGTGTGTACATTAAATAAAGATGAATTATTTCCAAAATATAATTATACCCTACAAGACTTAGCTAAATCGAACACGTTAAGCAAGTCAGCAAAGAGTTTTTTACTCGCGGACCTTTTTCACTCCGTCCAATGATTTCCCTTTGATCGTTAAGCTAAAAAAACGCTTTAATGGTAGAAGATTTATTAATAACGGAAATGTGGTACCTACGAGTGATCGCAATATTAAAATGCTCGCCTATTCTGGCTATAAAAGTTTTGTGGAGCAATTGAATATTGCCACCAATACTGCTGAAAGCAAATTATGTTGTGAAATAAAAATATTTTTCCAAAATTTTTTTGTTTTTTTATCAAGTATTATACTTCGGCAACTATTATCGTACTAAGAAAAAAAAAATGATAGACAATCCAACAAACGATGCAAATGAGATTCCTTTGAAATTCATGGCCGTTTGTCAAAACATTTACTTCGTTAAGTGTAAATTCTGTACTAACAATTTAAATTAACTCAATGCAACTACATATAGAATTTTGCTTTTAATACTACGTACAAAATCAATTTTAAAGATACGTTAACTCTGTATACCATTTTTAGTCTTAAAAGTAGAAACTTACAAGCATTTTATGTTTTTTCTTAAGTTATACTTTAAATTCATAAGTACTTAGCAGATAAATTGCCTTTTTTTAAAAAAAAAGGGAAGGTACAATTTAGGAGAAAATTTATGCATGTATAAAATTCTTTCAAGTTAAAGTTTGTCAATTACTTTCGAAACAAGAAAGTGAAAAACGACTAATGCTAAAAAACCATTATTTCTAGTAAAAACAGGCCGATCCAAATTGAATGCGAAATTGTTGTAGATTTTCTCCTACATCTCCAATAGCTAAGTCGACTATAGGCAGACGTTGTGACTTATCAGTTGTGTAAGTTATTATTGTTTTAGCCCAATTGTTGGAGGGTTTCTGTTATATTATACAAAAAAAAGTTCTAAAGATATCTATTTCCTTTCCTTTCTATTATTAGCTTACACTGCAATCGTCAATTTCCGCAACATAACGCAAACGTTGTGGTCCGTGCGGCGAAAGCTCAGAATCATTCCAGGACAATAACTTCAGTCCATTGCTGCAAAACAAATACAAGTTTGAATCCTTTCAAATTTTTAGTTTAAATCCGCTTTTCAAATTACCTGGAAGAATTATATTTATCATCCCCATAAGCTACAGTCTTCTTACAATGGAAAATAATTTGCTGCGAAGCCTTAGCAGACATTAATTGCAGGAATCCCAATTGATGGGCGTCAGCTTTATAGTTAACTTTCATCCCCCCCGCGATTTCTCCTAGCCATACCTCTTTGTTTCCACCATTGTAATTTAGTACCTGGGTTTCTCTTGGTTGTGGCACTATGCAAGTAGCCTTTTTTTCACGTTCACAATGAACCAGTATTGCATCCCTTGGATCACCTTCATTAGGATCTATCCAATATTCACCTGTCTGATATTCTGGATAGGCAGCAAATAAATCCCTGCAGGTTTTAGCTGGAGAGCTTTGTTGACCGTTAGGTCGCCGTATTCTCTCGAATGAAGCTTTGACATGTTCAAAAGCTTTCATAACTAAAGAATGTTTTTCTTCATCTGTTAACCCTTCAGTTAATTGGTTTAAAGGCTGATCGTCTAAAATGTCTACTCCTTTAATGTGGCTACCTTGATTGAGCAAAGCTGTTAAAGCTGCGACATCATAACCTAATGTCTCGCCCGGTGGGCCCGGAGGCCCTGGCGGACCTATCAATCCCACAGCGCCGGGCTTACCATCACTTCCGGGGAAACCCCTTACCCCTGGTTGGCCAGGTGGTCCAGGCGGACCTGTGTTACCATCCCTTCCTTGGGGACCTCGTTCTCCAATCTCACCAGGTTTTCCAGGAAAGCCAGGAGCTCCTGTAGGACCTACGTCTCCCTTTAATCCTGGCGTGCCTGAAATGCCTTGTAGACCTATGAGACCACGATGTCCTTTCGTTCCTTTGGGACCAACTTCTCCAGGTTCTCCTTTAGAACCTTCAGAACCGGGGGGACCAGATTTCCCTCTTAATCCAATTGCTCCCTCCATACCTGGTAAACCGGTTTCCCCTTTAGAGCCGCGTTCTCCTTGGGGACCAGCAGCGCCAATAGGGCCCGGCGGTCCTGGGATACCTGGACTACCCACATGACCTTGTGGTCCGGGTTGACCTGGAGGCCCTTTGTCCCCAAGTCTACCGGCCATACCTGGAGGCCCCATCTTTCCAGAAGGTCCTTCCGGGCCTTGTTCTCCCATTGGTCCTGGTGGACCTGTTTGTCCGACTAACCCTTGCGACCCTGGCGATCCTTCTTTGCCTTGCTTGCCTTGTTGACCGATTTCACCTGGTGGTCCTCTCATTCCCCGCGGACCTGCCGATCCTGGATGTCCTGGCAAGCCTGGAATTCCTCTTTCTCCCGCTGGCCCTGGCAGTCCAGGATGCCCGATGGCTCCTTGAGGACCATCACTACCTGTTTCTCCTTTTTGACCTTCCAAGCCTTGAGGCCCTTGCAAGCCCGGACTCCCTGGCAAACCTGACCGTCCGAGCTCTCCAGGATTACCTTTTAATCCTGGTAGACCAGCAATACCTGGTAATCCTTGACTTCCTGGTTGACCCTTAAGGTTAAGGGATATAAGTAATAAAATTATTAAAAGGCACCGTTTGGGAAACAATGTTTACCATTACCAATCACTTTTCAAATTTTTCTTTTATGTTCGTACTTACCGGAGAACCCACATCGCCCGGTCTGCCAGGCAATCCACTTAGCCCAACTTCCCCTCTTTGGCCTATTTCACCCCTAGCACCTTTCGGTCCTAGCAGTCCAACAGGACCCGGTAAGCCTTGTTCACCGGGTGGGCCTAGCATGCCTGGATTGCCTTGTTCGCCTTTAACACCCATGAGGCCACGATCGCCTTTTGGGCCAGGCATTCCTGTCAATCCTGGTGATCCCGGGAAACCTATGGGACCCGGGAGGCCTAATGCACCCCTCTCTCCAGTGGTTCCAGTAGCTCCCTGTTCACCGGGTTGTCCCGGATTCCCTGCATCTCCTCTTTCTCCTGTTTCACCAGGAGGCCCAGGAGGTCCAATATTTCCTTGAAGACCGCGGTCACCAGGCCGACCAAGTGGACCTTCTGGTCCAATTGGTCCTACATTACCACGCTCGCCTTTTTCGCCCATTATTCCTTGCACACCTTTAAGACCAGGCAAGCCCATCATTCCCGGTGAACCCGAATGCCCTTTCTCACCAGGTTTTCCAGTGGGTCCCTATTTGAGAAATAAATAAAATGAATTGCCCAATAAATCACTAATTCCGTTGTTCTACTTTTATAAACTAGTATATAACTCATTATCGCATTCATCATCTACACAACTTCGATCTCTCGCATAAAACTTTAGGCCTGTCGGGAGGAAGAAGAAAAGAGTAATATGCGTACTAATATGAAGACAAAATGTATTCAAACAAAACTTTTTGCTCATTTCGTTTTCATACGACGATTACTCTCGACCGTATCGGAAATTTAAAATATTTTTGCAATATGATAAAACCATTTTAGTTACCGGCGGTCCATCATTGCCAGGCAAACCTAGTTCACCTCTTTCGCCAGTGGGTCCAGGTTGTCCGACTGAACCTCGTTCACCAGGGAATCCACGTTCGCCTCTGATACCAGCAGCTCCTGTCAAACCCTGCGGGCCAGGCGGCCCTTGATTGCCGTCTTTCCCCGATGCGCCTGCAGTTCCCGCAACGCCGGGCAAACCTTGGAAACCTCTAGGTCCGATTGGCCCTGGTTCACCACGAACACCGTCTTGACCAGGAACACCAGGCGCACCTTGAGTACCAGGAAGCCCATCTTTGCCATTGTCACCGCGAGGTCCAGTACTTCCAACAACACCAGGTTCGCCAGTTTTTCCTGGGTCTCCGGGAAAACCTTTGTCACCTGGTAAACCCATGGGTCCTGGTAAACCCTGAAGTCCCGGATGTCCTTGGTCACCAAGTTTTCCGTCCGCTCCAGGTATACCACGTTCACCAGGCGGCCCTTGCCGACCCACAGGTCCAATGCGACCGGGTAAACCACGCAAGCCTTGCAATCCAGGAATTCCGGTAGGTCCCGCATCCCCTGGGCCACCTTTATCTCCAATCGGACCCTGTATACCTCTGTCGCCTGCAATGCCTTTTGGGCCAACTGGTCCGTCAGGACCCGGCAACCCGGGCAGACCGTGAGGTCCACGTTCACCATGGGGACCACCGGGACCTGTAGGACCGCGTATTCCACGTTTTCCACGCTTGCCTTCAGGCCCTACTGTACCAGGTAAGCCGCGAGGGCCCGCCAGCCCGGTCTCACCCTTTATGCCCATATCCCCTAAAAGTACATTTAAACATTAGGGAGAATATACATATAAGAAGAAATTATTACCTTTATAACCCTTTTCGCCTGGTTGGCCAGGAACACCTTTTATACCAGGCTCACCAGGGCTGCCAGTTAAACCATCTGGCCCTCTAGCACCAGGAAAGCCTTGAGGACCCATTAGTCCCATAGCCCCCGTGGCACCTTTTTCACCTGAAAAACCATCTTTTCCTGTTGGACCGGAAAGGCCCGGTTCACCAGCAGCACCCGGCCGGCCTGCTTCACCACGCGGACCCTGAATTCCTGGCTCACCTTTAGAGCCTAAAGGGCCTGCGTCACCCTTAGCACCAGGTATACCAGGAAAACCGGGTGGGCCTGGCTTTCCTACAGAACCGGGCTGACCAGGAGAACCAGGGTTACCATCTAAACCGCGAATACCAGAAGGTCCAGCGGCACCTTCACGACCACGTTCACCCCGGGGACCTGCAGGGCCCTGAAAAATTTCACATATTAGAAAGATGAAATCCTAATCTATGCAAAAGATTTACAATAGGACCAGGAAGACCAACAGGACCCATACTACCAGTCGACCCTTTCTCTCCAAGAGCTCCCTGCTCGCCCTTAGCACCATCTAGGCCCGGCAAGCCGCGATGTCCCTTTAGACCAGGTTGACCAGGCAGGCCAGGTAAACCACGGGGACCCGGAGTTCCAGCCAGACCCGGAGCGCCAACTTCGCCATCTTCACCGGGCAATCCGTCTTTACCAGGAGAACCGGGTAAGCCCCTAGGTCCCATGGGCCCGGGGGGCCCTTGAAGACCTGACTCGCCGGGTTCACCACGGATACCTTGAAAACCTTGAGGTCCTGACGGACCTACACCACCTGGAGGTCCTCGAGGACCAGGGTGACCAGCTGAAGTCTGCACATATTGCACAGGAGCTACTCCAAATAAAGGATCATTACCAGGGCCTTTTTCAGAATTACCATATTCAGCTGCCAATTGCTGGTGATAAAAGCTTATATCAGGTGTAGGTCCAGGCCGACCAGGAGAACCGGGAATGCCAGGAGTTCCAGGCGATCCAGGAAATCCAGGTTCTCCCATCGGTCCCTGAGAACCGGGATAACCAGGTTCACCTTGAGGACCAATTGCAGGTGCTTCAAATGGATTGTGTGGAGGTAGGGGATGAGTAGTAGTCGCAATAGTAGTTGATGTTGTCAAAGGAAGCATTGTAGACCTCTCCTCAGAGGACTGTAAAGAATCCCTTCGTCCAAGACTACAACTTGCAGAAGGACGGCATAGCACTTTACCCTCAGCACAAACACAGTTATGCAAGCAACTACCACGTTCGGCAGTAAATTCATCATTTTCGCGATACCAATTACCTTCAAATTGGCAAGAAAACGGCCTTATGATGTTATCCACGGCTCGAGCGCGGGGGACGGAAGTTTCTTGAACTGGAAGAAAGAATTAAAAGCAAGCATTGAATTTAATTCAATTGTTTAAAATTAACATTTTAATTTACCTTCTGAATCAACATCAACATTAGTATCGGAATCTAAAAAAATCAAAATAAACTCATTATAAAGATTGTAATCATCGTAATAGCGGCCATCAGCCGCATTCATTTCATTAAAAAGATGAGTTCGGCTTTCAATAACAACCATTTAACATAGACATAAATCAAAATATTTTTGTGTCACTAACAAACGCAAATCTATTACTAGGTCGTAGCTATTCTTCTCAATTGCTAGTTATGCTAAAGAAATATAAAGGCAGGCATATGAATAGGCAATGAGATATTTAGATAAAAAAGCGCACTTGATACTCGCCGTGCCTATAAAATTCACGCAATATTTAATATTTTACATAGCAATGCAATGTAATGCGTGTCAATTGACAACAGCATACTGCACAGAATTGTTGTTGCTGCTGCCGATGATAGCGCCATTTATATTTATCAATTGAAAATTGCGATTTTATTCTTTTTCCTTTGTTTCCATCTATTGATGGTCAAGCTTATAGTGAACAACCAATGCTCTAAAATAGCATTTATAATAATGATGTATCATAAATATAAGTTTGGATTTCCAGCAGCAACAAACTGTTGCCTCTGTTAATGTAAACGATATTAATGCGAAAACCATTAAGGTTAGTGAGTCAAGTACTAACAGCTGCTTGATAAACGTGTTTACATATTAATAATCACACATTTCTTTACTTAGGTGCTTATACGTGCGTGTGTTGTTATGGGTCTGTATGCGCAAATACATAACCCACTTTGCTTATATTACGCACAAGCATTTTGGCAATTGCAGATGCATAAGTTTTGAAAAGCCTGAACAGATCTCATAAATTATATAATAAACAAGGTGTTGTTTCTTTTTCTTAAAATTTCTTTTAAATTAGCATTAAAAATTTGTCTTAAAGAAACTGTTGGAAATAGAAGACCGCTTAATAAAATTTGTTGAGGAAGAGTGATTTCCAGATATATATATCTGAAGTTTTTCGACAACTTTTTTAATCCTTGCGTAAAATACTTCTTGTTTTATGGACGTAATTTTACTATAAACTCATATAAATGTACGTGTTTTTTGGTAACATAACAACCTACTGTTTTGTTGTAAGTGCAAACTTTTGCAAATTTGATTAGCAATTTCAGCTTAACACTTAAAATTTTTTAGAAAGACGCGAACATATGGAACTGAGTATACCTTTCGGAAATCATCAAAAATATTTCCACGCAATTAAACAGTAAATTATTCTAAGTAACAAAATGCCTAAGTCGTATATGATGGATAATATTCCCAACAATTTTTGGCGCTCACCTTCATCATAGTTACTATAATCATAACTGTCCAAATCGTCTAAGCCGGCCAGTTCACCAATGCTTCGCTTAGGCTCTTCATTTTGCGGCAGTTCTTCTAAACCTTTGCGATTTGTTGTTTTTTTTGTTTTCTTTAAAGATTTTCCACTGCCTCTGGTCCCATTTTTATCATCGTCAACATTCTTCTTAGAATTTTGTCTTAATTCTCCAGTGGCACTATTAGTTTCAATCACGATGCACAGTATAATTAATAATGAAAATAATGTTGCAAATTTTAAATGCATGATGGAGGTAAAGTTTTAAATTATATAGGAAAAGAAAAATAGATCAAACAACAATCTGTAACGAAATACAAAATTAGGAAAATTTAAATAACTGATTCTGGCAACTGAGGATAAATTCGCTGTGAAAAACCCATGCTAAACTTAGAAAACTTACATTCAAGACGTAAATTAAGGATTATTTAAATTAAAAGTGGGCGAACTCTAGGCGTATACATTGTTTTTCTACTTTTCCTCTCTATAAGTTTATTTGATGATCGGGCCCATAAACTTAATGGGCCTATAGCCTGTGTTGCTAGTGCTCAATGTCTCTTTTTTTAGTCTAAGAATTCAATTCATTAGTCTAAAATTAAAATAATAATAATAATAATGGCTGTAAAGCATATTCTGCCATAGACAACGAAATATGACATAACACGTTGTATTCCAAAAAACAATGCGTTGCCCTAAAATAGGTTATCTAGCTGTTTAGTTCATAAAAAATGAGATTGGAAACCCATAGAAGAAATATATAATCTTCACTCATGAAGTTTGAATCAAAAATTTGACAACAGCAGTGACATGGAAGCCGACAGTCCATAGTCTAGTAAAGGTGTCACAATTAACAATGAAGATCTACAATTTTCGAGGAGAAAGGTATTCAACGTTCGCCACAAAGCAAATGGAATTTTTATATATTTATTTTACTGTGCAGTTGAATGATTTCCAGCACCTTAATCGCAGTTGCGCGTTATGGTTAGGTTTGAGTGGGCAAGTGTTATTGGTGATGGTAATGATGGTGCAGCGTTGCGAATTCGTTTGCATTTTTTGCTTGAGTCCATCTTACCCAGGTTTGTGATTTCCACTCTTAACGATTGTCACTACGTCGTTATCGCAGTAATTGTGGCCGTAGCAGTTTTATTTTACATTTCTGCTTTCGTAGCGGAGTGGGCGCTATTTGGCTCAATTTCATTATTCCATTTCTCCGCACTACTTTTCTTGTCCTATACTGTCGTTGCCGTTTTTAATATTTCATAAAGAAAACATAGAAGTGTGAGATAATACATTGGAATATTAATTATACTTATAGTGATTATCTAATGTTAAAAGTTCAGTATGCTTTTTGTGATAATAATTTGGTTCTTTTTATTTTAGGCAGAAAGAGGTATTTCTCTTATCTTTCATTTCTTAAAAGCATTTGAATCTCACTATATTTCGATTACATTTCTGTTGTGCAATCAATCTTCTTCATCTTTCTTTAGATGATGCTCACGACAGACAGAAGAAAGAGAGAATGAGAAATAATGCAGGGCATCCTTTATTGAAACTACTTAAAACAGAAGGAGCTTTTTCTCCGTCTAACACTTTGCGCTTGTTAAAAACTAAATTCGGTAAAATCAAATAAAATGCTGGTTGTTTTCCCAAAAAGGGATTAAAAAGTATCCACGATCCTCAATTCCTTCTTTGCAAGTTTTGCTCCAGACAACTTAAAAGATTTGAATTTATTACTATTCGAAATAAAGCTGATGTTGAAGAATATCAAACCCCAACTTACATCCTTTTCTATGTAATGTTATTATTATGAGGCATATCTATTGCCGAGATATATCCAGGAAAATGAATCCAAGATAAATGTGCCGATTTTTAATTTTCTGTCGTAACTTTTATTTTTTATATTTATATATCTGTATCTATTTTCTTATATTTTTTAATGTCTTCTTAACCATTAAAAAATATTAAAGAATCATGTAACTATTTATTTTATGCTTAAGAACTGATTGGCAAATCTGCTCTTTTTTAAACCAATTTTTCTGCTTTCATGTATTTTCATAAGATTTATCGAAAATTATCCTTTTTATACCGTTCTTAGTGACCTCATCATTTCTTTTGAAATAATTTCGATTTTTTGTTATTTGATTCCAAACGTCAACAGATTTTTATGTCAGCCCAGGTTTTTGTAAAAATTTCATTTCATAAAACTTACATTTGATCCTTGATTGATTATTTTGTATTCACTTGGCACTCATTTTAATTTATTCTAGTTTCACTTATACTTTAACTTTGTCTTGGCTTCCCGCTTCAACAATTTTAAAAACAATATCTCAACTAATAATATTTCAAGACTAGACCGCGGTATTTATAGTTTTCTATCAGTAAATTAATTATAATTTGTAGAAACGAAGTATGCTCTAGATTGTAATAGAATTCTGTTTGAATAATTCAGCTGACAATTTGATTCAGCGCGCTTCTGGTAGCAACGACGCAATGAGATCATAGTTAAGACGTCACACTGATTATGCTTTTGCAGGAAGATGTTTACTCAGGAGTAACAAGCGAAATTTATTCATAATGCATTTCGTTTGTTTATGATTACTTTTACACAAAACGTTATCGTATAAAATTTGACGTCTCACACTCGAATACAATTGAAAGCGATGAAATTGTTATGAATATTTAAAAAGACCCCGCCGTTTGAGTGAACGAAGTTACGAAATTATTCTTTTTTAAATATAAATTAATAGTGTACGCAGTCAGTACATCGAAAATGCCGAAAGTTATATTTTTTCAGGTGCAATATAGAAGAATGTATTTATTTCATATGGCAAATTTGAAAAAATTACTAAGGGATACATAGAAACTATTTCGCAAAAGCATTTAAAATATATATGTACAAATGCGCCAAATGTGAAACATTAAATAAATTTAATACTAAACAAAGCGACTTTTAACGATTATTTGCTTCCAAAATAAGATTATAAATTATCAGAAAGAAAACAAAACGGTAATGAAAAAGAGAACAGTAAAAATAATGATAAAATGATATCGGAAGAGGTAATATGTAAAGATGCAGTTAGATGCGTGAACTGATTTCATGGAGTGGAACAGCTTTTTTTTAAATTAATTATTATCAAAAAAGTTCTTTTTGGCGGCTGATGTTTCGAAATTGATTGTTGATATTCTGCAAATATAAGATTTTACTTAACAAGCAATTCTTGTATTTGATTTCTTTGTACCTGGCTATTTTCGGCGTAAGATACGCGGCCGCCATTTTGTCATTTCGTTCTTTAGGAAACTCAATATTTTTGTCCTCATCACTTTTACCATCGCTGCTATTGTTGTCTTCGCTTATATCGAAGGAAGCGGCCTCCTTATTATTCAAACACTTACTTTTGCATCGGCAAAGCTTTGTGCAGCTTTGATTGCTCGAATTACATCCGCAACGCTGGTTGCGGCAGTCACCACGGCATGAACAGCCCTTGGACTTCCGCTGCTTGTTATATTCGTCAGATGTTTTTGCACCTGCTCGAGACGCTGTTGAATTATGGGCCTTAGCGGCGATGTGCTGGTTGTGGGAGAGATCTTCGTCATCAACAAGCTTTGTGGTATTGTTGACAGATTGGGACATATACGCTCTACTGTTCTAAAATTTGAAGGTGTCTTTGCACAATTGATATTGCAATATGAAATCGTCATAAGCTAAATTTTGACTTACAGGTCTTCTCCTACGATAACGTATTAAAGGGGTTTTGGTCCAATCAGGATCGTTGTCGCAATCGTAATCTGACTGTGAGTCACTTGATTCCAACGGTAATAAATCATCCTCTTCAGTTCTTTCAACAGATTTACAAGGAACTTTAACGTGCTAAAATGAAAAAAAAATAAAAGATGGAATTGCAGAGGAATCACACTGACCAACCTTTCCCTTCATTCCTTCAGATTTTTCTTTGTATAATTTTGCCCCACTTAAAATTTTTTTGTAATTCTCAATTTCCATCAATAACGTTTCTATCTTTCTTTCTTGCTTCTCTTGTAATTTCAAGCGTTGCTCTTGTTCCGGTGTTAATGCCACCGAAATTTTCTCCTCATATTCAGCTATTGCCTCCTCATATTCCAATTTTAACGCATGCGTACTTTTAGTTGCTTCCATGCATTTTTCCTCGGCGATAAGAAGATCTTCACGAGTTTGAATATTTTCACGTCTCATTTCCATTATTACTTTTAAAAGATGTTTGATTACAGCGCGTGCTTCAAGCAAACTGTGTGCAGCATCACTCAGATTTCGCATTATCGCATCGATATCGTTGACACATACTTTTTGCTGGAGGTCAGCAATTTGATTATCACGCATTTCCAGTTCACAACGCAAATTATTCAATTCATCATCGATACCAATCTCATTATCACATTGCTGATGCTGCAACTCTTCCAATCGCCTATTAATAATGCTACGATCATCCTTTAATTGTTCAAGCGTACGTTCAGCTTCGATTAGTGATACTATGACTTCCAGTTCGCGCTCTACACAGGCAATAGTCTCAGCCACCTTGGTAGAAGAAATATTACACTCTTTAGCAGAGTGGAAATGTTGACGTTGACTCTGAGCTACCTTCTGACGATCCAAAGCGTCTTTTAATCTAAACTCGAAAAAAATTTGTTTTAGTGCGTAAAAAAGTGAACAGTTTTATGAATTTTTTTTCATAATGCGCCTTTGTTCCTTACCTTTTGTTGATAGCCAACGCTTCCTCGCACTTGCGTTTTAGGACTTTGCGTTGCTTATTGTGCAATGCTTCCTTTCGCGCCATCTCATTTTGCAGTTTGCGATCACGTGTCTTGAGCTGTACTACCTCTTTTTCGCGCATCATCCTAAACTGACGGAATTTCTCCGACTCCTGCCTCATATTACGTATCAATTTCACTTTAGCCTCTTTCATGCTTTGTATTTCCATATTTAGGCTTTGTATCTTCTGAGTTTCTTTTTCACGTATTTTCAGTAATTTCGCTTGCTGCACATTCTTGCGTTTCATGTCAGTTATTTCTGTTTCTAATATTTGCAGTCGTTTCCTTCTTTCTTCGGACAACTTAGCAGAGACATTTTCTTTAACATGCCGCAATTTCTCAAGCAGATCGCATTTTTCCACCTCCAATTCCTGAATTTTTTTTTCGCATTCCCTGAATTTCTCTTCAACATTGTCGTCCAACGTTGAATATCTGCTGAAATTACCCGCAATACGCTGATGCAGTTGTTCTTTAACCGTCAGTTCCCGATTAATGCGTCGTAATTGTTCGTTGATTTCCATCTGCTTATTGGTAAAGAGTTCAGTATGTTCCTGCAAGGAGGAATTAATTAACTGGGCGACGTGTTCCTCGTTCTTTACGTCGCTATTTTCAAAAGAAGCTAAAGAAGACCGTTTTTTATTATCCAATATTTCAGTTTGTGTTCGTTCCAATTCTTCTTGCAAGTTCCCTACCAAAGTGCTTATTTGCAACACTGACTTTTGCATATTATCTCCATCCACAGGACTTCCCATCCGTATATGCTTCAAGTCATTTACTATATGCTTCATTTCATCTACCTTTGTCTTAATATTACGGTGCGTTACCTCGAATATATGCGCCCGCATTTCATGCTCGGTTACGTCGTGTAAAATCATTTGCCATTGCTGTTGAAGATTACCATATTTTTCTTGGAGGTCTTTGTATTTGCGATTTTGTTCAGAAGCTAGCAATTCAGCGGGCGTAGAAGTAGCAATAAGACTGGGCAAAGGCGATCCATTTTCCAATTCACTGTCCAATGATGAACCAACGGTTCCACCTTTCGCCAATAGTTCCAAACGCAGCCTTTGTATAATGCCCTTAAGACGATTAATTTCAGTCGCATGGGGATCTTGATTTACTATAGGCTTGTTTTTAATTTTACGCGCTCTATCGGCATACCGTAAAGTGCTTAGAGTCTCGGAAACATTATAGTCTGCAGATGAAACACAAGCAATCATAAGAGTCATAGAGTTGCCACCGAGAGAGTCCTGCAACAGTCGTGTCAACTTAGAGTCTCGATAACGCACAAACCCTGCGCCTTTACCATCTGTATTAAAAATAAGGTATTTATAGTTCATTTGAAAATTCCTCACATCTTAGGTACCTCCCAAGGCGGATATGACGTTTCCCAACGCCAAAAGTCCTTGATTTATTTTCACACCTTCTCTAAAACGATCGCCCGTAGCTTGCGTTTTCTTTGAACGTTCTGAACCGGCTAAATCTACCAAATGGAATTTAGAAGTGGTTACAGCACGACTGAAAACAAAGCATGTAAAACATTTTTTAATAATAGAGAATTTAGCAAAATCTTACGACTCATCATTCTTTGTAGCTTCTAGAGTAATAGTAAAAATCGCATGCGACCGAGAAGACTGCTGGTTCATCGCTGTAGATGCTACCGCTCTGCCGGAAGATCCACTTATTAAGCAATCTGTAGTTTCTTTAGCGGAGAATACTATTTTCTCGGTAAGACCTACCATTACAATACCACTCCGATCTTCACGTATGTCTACAACACTATCTTCGCGTGACTTATTGGAAAGTAAATCAAATAATTGCTCCTGATATAATTCCACAAACGAACATTTCACTACAAAATCAAAGTCAGCTTTCATTTTGCGCGTACGCTCAAATATATCATATACAGCTCTCGGTATAACGCCAGCATGTTCATTAAGGCAACCATCAAAAATGGTGCCCATGGTATGTGTCTTACCAGAACCAGTTTGACCATATGCTAATATCGTGGCATTGAAGCCACGAAAGCACTTATCTAACATATCCGAAACACTTGAATTATACAGTTCTTCCTGAGAGTTTCGCCAGTCGAAAACAAAATTAAAAGTAAAGGAGTCTGTCTTGTTAACTAGGACCTGATTAAAATTGTCCACCTTTTCAACAGCTACCTGACAGCCACGATTAATCTCTGAAGACACCAATGGTCGTATCCGTAAAGCTACGCGAACGCTGTCCAAATCACCCATTTTGTTAAGATTAGGCAATAACTTTAAAGAATTCTAGCTTTCCCGCTAATTACTGTTTGCGCTGTTTTTTGTTAGATTTATTTATGCAAATCTTTTTTTTGGTTTCCTTTCTTGCGTATAGTTGAAGCCTTTGTCACTACACATTAAATCTTCCGTTTAAAAAAAAAAACGAAGTGCTTCATAAAACACATAAAAGTACTAAGAGGAGATATTATCACTTCAATAAATAAAATTTTCCCGAAACGGAATCTCTCCTGATTTACGAGGAAAGAAAAAAACCGCTTTGAATTAAAAATGGTTGGTGTTCAGTTGCAACAAAGGTATTGCATTCATAAACCTAGAGTTGCCCACTCTAATCAACTAAATTTATAACCAAGTTATTAAAATACAAAGATTTTTTACCTATATGTTGTGTTTTGACTTCCAAGCAATTTAAACAGTGCATAAGCGCGAACGAGGTGACTGCGTTATGCATGCGCGTGGCTATCAATCACGCACAACGCATAATCATTTAAGCATACAAATTGCGTGCGTTACCAAGAGAATTTATGAAGTTTGTATAAACACACAACAACAAATAATGAAATCTAAAATTAGTGGCGCCAAAAATTTATTTCAAATATTGTTGTCGCAATTCATTTAGTCCAGTTTAATTTTCAATTTTATTATTTTTGTTTTTTAGTTTAACTTTTAATATTATTTTATTTTTTTTTTTGCTTCTTGTTGTTTTTCACAGCATATAAAATCATACGATTTTGTTCTACTTTCAACTAAATTTAAATACAAACGATCAATTTTATTTTAATTGTCTGTAAGCCCCGCACAATCACAAATCAGTCGAACCCAAAACCTAAATGTTAACGAAGTGGTAATTTAGCAAACAAATTTTTCTCCGTATAGAAACAGAAAGCAATACTCTTGGTTTATTATTATTTTTTTTAACAAAAATATAAATGATAGCTCATCATACTGTTTTCATAAATTCATCGCAGTTTTTGCTGTCAAAAACAACGCATGCAGATATTTTGAGAGCTTGCCATAAATTTGCGGTATGCGGAACGCAACTTAAGTGACATGTTCTCTACATTTACATACATACAGCCATTTTTATTTTGACAGTCATTCAGCCATGCATAACGCAAACTTTGTCTGTTGCGCTCTATACGTTCGCTTATATATATTTCCGGACAATTTACATTGTTTTTGATATATGCAATTGAAATTTCCTATAAACTAAAGTATTTTTGCAATTTCAACGACTTTCATACGCAATAGCTCATTTTGCTTCGCAGTCACTGCAAAAGAGTTAAATCCTGTCTGAAGCTGAGTTATTAACGCGTAGTAACTGATATGAGAATAGCTGTTACAGGTTTATCACATAACTCTGGGTGCAGGTTTTACGTTAAAAATTTTCATTATTATGTATGCCTTGACTATTCTGAGTTGACAAAATTTCAATTTGCTATAATTTAATTGTATATTTGTATAACTTTTTCTAAAAGTCAATACCAAAATCTTACTTAACAGTAATATGGTATGCGTTATGTGGAAGGTTCCATAGTGTAGCGGTTATCACGTCTGCTTTACACGCAGAAGGTCTCCGGTTCGATCCCGGATGGAACCACTCTTTTTTGTTAATTTTTGAACCACATGAGGAGTAGTTTTGGTTCCTCACAATTTTCTGAGAGATATATTATATATAAAAGTTTTTTTTTTTTTTGAGTATTACAAAAAATGGCCTTCACTTTCAAAATAATGCCATTGTAGTTTAGAATCTGTTTAAAACCACCTAAATTTACGGTTCCATAGTGTAGCGGTTATCACGTCTGCTTTACACGCAGAAGGTCTCCGGTTCGATCCCGGATGGAACCAACGTATTTTTGAAACTAGAAGAATAATTATTTTTGCAATTATCTAACTTCATTTTGTCTTATACCTTATATATCGCTCGCACTGGTAACAAACTGAATCTTAAGATTATAAGCTATTATTATGAAACTTGCTACCTACGTGACCATCCCAAACTGCCGTAATTGGACGCAATTAGTCCTCAGCACACACAAAATTATAGCTCAAAGCCTATATAAAATATTCATCTAAAACCTTTTATATGTAGTCGTGGACGCAACCATCGCAATAAATTTATATTTATATGGCCTCTACAAATATTTCTAACTTCTGGCACGCAAAGCCACGGGCATATAAAGGCTCAAAAATTTTTTATTATGAATTCTTCACTTTAATACCTAAGGCTCTAAACATAATGAGGATTCAAGCGCAAGACTTCAATAAAAATTTTTAAAGTGGCGAATTAACCAAATATATTTTTTCTTTCGAGGGACTTCTCTTCTTCATAGTGTTTGCTCTTTTTGGTATTCATTTACGATCGCCCTCCTTACGCTTACTTGACTTGGCAAATACTCAAGCCATACACTTTTTGAGAGAAAGCATACAAAGGACAAGCTTGCACCCTTATGACCTGCAGCAATGGTTGGAACCTTAGCTCCATCTATTTAAAATCGTCTGACTTAGCTTATTAATCCTAACCAGGCAACTTTTTTTTATGACATATCATACCACAATAGGTCTCTCACGCTCACGGAAATTTTCGTATCTTGGGCAGGAAGTTGTTTATTTAATCTACTATATATAAATATAAAACATTATATCCCAGCAATATATTTTTTAATATAGGTAAATTAAATCTAGCTGTATCATTTTTTGTATCCGCCACCTTTATCTGAAAAAACATGCAACATAAAGCCTCACATTCTGTAATATTGAACGCGCGTGGGTGATTATTTCCATTTTTGTTATACATGCAAATTTTTATTGTGCCACTAGTGCAGTTTATAAGTGACGACTGGAAAAAAGGGAAGGATTCTTAGTTTACGTTGCACAGTTTTGATATAAAGCATATCGGTATTAAACTTATCAGTAGATTTCTGTGCGAACATTAATATACATTACATTTCATTATAGAAGTTTAATAAAATTTTGTTCGCCTTTCACATGTTTTCGAAAAATGTTAGCCTTATCCGATTTTATTTTGTATAAGCATATTCCCCCAAATAACCCGCCTTGCAGCGCATCCCTTATGCATGCTAATCATGAGCTCACTTTACTATATATCTTGGCCATGTGATCTTACCGTGCTCCACAGCTTTTAATCCTAATAAAGAGAAAAGGTTTTTTTTCTTAGTAGTTCACACGATATTTGGTGGTCCTACAAAATATGCATTGTGCTTAAAAATAACGGTAAATCACTCTCCGGCATGTGTAAAGGTAAATTTGTAAAAAAACGCCTAAAATCATTTTTAGACGGATGCGTACAAAGAAACTGTTTCAACCAAGATTGCATATTCGCACGTGTTTGGCAGATAGCTGGCAACTTACATTTCCATACCTGCAAATGGGTATCACTAAACGACATACGAGCAGTAAATATTACGCAATCATGCCTGTAGGCATAACGAAAGTTTTTGGAGTCTCGTTAAACTAAACAATTTAAAAAATTGTGTGACAGCAAGAGATATTAAGCAAGTTTTGTAATCTACCCCAAAGAAAATATCTCCGGGATACGGTACGAATTATTCAATAAGAAATAAAGACAGAAACAGTTAGTTTTCAATTTACTACTATAATAATGTATTCCATTTTTTTCATGAAAAAATCTGGAGCTATTTCCATGTCAATAGTTTGAGCAATATTCTGAAAACATTAAATGCTTTTGCACATTTTTATAGAAGTCTTCATAAATCTTTGTGCTTATTACTCTACGGTTACATTTATGCTGTTTATATGTTTGTTAGGTTTTGCTAAGAAACCAGTACAAAATAAAAAGTCCTGATCCCTTGAATGATAATACTTCTAAAAATATTTTGCAATTGTAATGTATTTCATGGACTCGTCCAAGAGTTATACAAATGCGAATTTGCTTATTTAAATGTTCATTTTTGTCGGTATAATGCTGAAGTAATGCTACATCTCATCTTAAAACTATTGGCATCTGAACTTGGTAATTAATCTTACCAATTTTTCCATTTTTCAACATAGACATTTTGATAGTGTCCGTACGTTTAACTGCCCCTTTTATTTTGTCAACAATTAAGTTAAGAAAATGTAATATATTTCTCATGCGCAATGAATCACAGAAAAAAATTTTTATGCCTCTCCCCTTTTTTTTTGTAATTTTTATTGTTTCATAAATAAAAATTAAACAGATAAGAAAAGAAAAACGCTGACAATTTCATCAATGGACTATCATACTCAAAATGTATATAATTTAACCCTTTAGCAATCCATGAATTTACCCTTTATTTGACAATAGGAATAAAAACAAGTTTATATTACAGTGTTCATCTATATGTCAATTATAGCTCCAAAAACGAACTCAGAGATTATAGAGATGTAAATTATTTACAAAGTAACGAAAATAAAACTTAAAATATAATATTCATTATGTGTACAATTACGGGTAAAAATCAAGAAACTGGAAATTACACGTAGGGCACAATAAAATGAATAAGAGATATAAAAAGAGAAATTGAATCAACTCCATCAATTTTTTAATAAAAAGTCCATATCATTCTCAGTCCTAGTGGTGGCCATGTATTGATCGAGCTCCTTATCTAAATCAGCTTTGTTGATGATCCCACCTGTTTGTTGCCAAAAATAGAAATTTTTAAAAATTAGTCGAATTTCCTGTAAGACTGTTATAATACAATTATAATTAGAATAAAAACCGTTATTATTTGTAGACGTGCATTGAGTTCCACCAGACCATAGATTATAGTGTTCAACTGTTAATGGTTAGTTTTTACCTTGGTTTATTTTACCGCGGTTTCCGTTACGGCTACGACTACGAAGGCGACGTTGCTGTTGCTGTTGGTTTTGCATTTGCCCTCTGGATTTATTGTTGCTGATAGTACCGGGGCGACGTTGCTGGCTACGACTGCGTCGGCGGAGATTACTTTGCTCTATTTGTTGCTGTGGACGGTTTGCATCTTTTCGTCCCGACCTCGGTGGTCTGTACGACTGACCTACCTTACGTGTATTGGAGCGAGAACGTGATCTAAGACCCCCGTTGTTTCTAACACCAGCATTGAGGGTGACCGACCTTTAAAAAAAGAATACACTTTGATTGCAAAACCTTTTATTCTTATATGTACATCTGCATACATTATTATACCCATTATTATACCGAAGGATGGTAAAGTGTAGTAAAATTGATATTGAAAAAAGTGAATGTGTTTTGTTTAAAAGTAAAAGTTCCTTTTTGTTGCAGAACTACACCTATTCAAAGCTGCGAAAAGCTACATATTCCCTTTAATGTGATAACTTATGCGTATAACTTAACGGTAGTACTTTCAAATGAAGAAGTCTGGCGTATTCATCTCCTCACAGTACCATATACTCCACTCTCTCCCATTCAACAGTTTATAGAAGAAAGTTTATGGGTAGATATCGTCTAATATGATCTTTTATCTACTTTCCTGAGACTAAAAATTTTGCTACTAATTTTAAGCAAATCCACTCAAATTTAAATTTAGGATGAATATGTATAATTTATGATATTCTTAACTCGCCCACTTTAATACGTCCTCTTCTTAGGCAACGTGTTAGTGATTAGTGATTACAGCAAATCCAATTGATAAATGTTAAGCGATCTTTCCTTACCTTTCTCTAATATGGTTAATACGTCCACGACTTCGAACAGCTTTGACCACATTTTCTTGTGTAACGTTATGTCGTTTTTGTACGCGCCCAGCAACGACTCTAGGTTTGCTTAAACTATTACTACGTCTATCGTAGTTCCGACGTCGATTCCCACTGTTGTTAGAAATCTGTGCGATGCCAGAACGTGTTCCAAGGCGAGCTTTAATGGGTATCCCTCCACTCCTTGTACGGTTAAGGCTGCGAGAACGACTACGTTTATGACTTGCTGAAATATTGCGGTCACGACTTTGTTGGTGAGGGTTGACGTTAGCGGTCAATTTGTTAAAGGCCCGTGTACGAGAGCGGCTGCGCGAACGGCTATTAAAAGCGGTAAAATTATTAGTGGCAGTAGATCTGCCATTTTCTCGTTCCAAACGACGTCTAGCCACACGCTGGGCAGCACCCCCAACAGTGGGACGTCTAGGTCCGAATGGTCCGAGACGTCCAGCTAAGTTTGAAGATGAGTTGATGCGATGCAAGGATCTCCGGCCAATAGATACTTCACGGTCAGCTTTCATACTGCAGTGTGAAGAATAACAATTGTGGAAATTATTATGTACATGTGTTTTTGCTGAACATTGCGGTGTTTTTTATTTTATTTTTTTTTCTTAGATTAGCTGGAAATTTATTTTTTATACAGTTCTTTCGGGCAATCGAGAAAGTTCTTCATTTAAACGAACATTATTATGTTCTTGGCTTTCTCTCATGTTCATTGTTGAGGGATTGTTTAGTATAAGGCGCTAAAAATGTATAAGATTCTTACGTTGCAACATTGGTAAGGCTATTTGTCCTTATCGGTTTGCCGTTCGCACCCACGCGGAACGCTTTAACAGTGCCACGTTTAATAGTACCACCGTCTCCGTTTGGCCCAAATGATCCACCGACGTTACGCATGCTCCTCTGCAAATATCACATACACATGCAACGACGCATAAACATGACAATAAAGAAATATATAGAAGTTTATATTGTTTTTGTGAAAAACAGCTGCATCGCCAAACTCTCTTTCAGTGTCTCCCTTTGTATTTTTCTTCATACTGCCCTGAACAAAACCCAATTCTATTTTTTGAAGTGGTTGAAGAAGCGGTAAACGTATTGCACGTTAGTGGTTGGGAGTCTGGAAATAAATGAACTGCTAGCCATTGAAGTAAGCATGTCAGAATACAAAATGAGCTGAGTGACTGATCTGAACTGAGTTCGATACTAAAACTTTAAAAAGCTTTCGAGTAGGAACCGCCAAAAAATAGAATTGCGTCAATTATACCACAGGGATGAATCCAATCAGTCGCTGAGCTTCTGCTTTCCAATTGCAGCATCCATTAATTTATCATCTACTTTTATGAAACTGTTGAAAGAAAATTTTTAATATTAACTACTTTTCCATTGAACTATTCACAATCTTGAAACTCCAAATTGTATTAACAAATCCACGTCACAAGTACTTAACATACGCGTAATTGCAGTTCGAGATTTTCTCTTACAAAATTAAGATAAAATTTCTTTCATACTATTGTAAACTTTCAGTTTTGAATCGGTGGAAACATTGACATTAGTGTTCAAATTTTTATCTAGTCTGCACGTACAGTTCGCCAAACCTTCAGGCCTTTATATTTCAAAAATAATGTACCGCATTCGCAAGCAATCCGCTGATATCATAATGAATTTTTAATAACATGTGAGTCTCTAACTGAGAAGTGATGGTTCAGCTTATCCTTCAATTTTCAAGTTCGCCATAATAAATGCTTTGCAAGGAAACTTTGCATTCTCAACGATCGACAAACTGCTTAATTTTTAACTTGAAAGTGATAGAATCCAAACACTTTTAAGGCCAACTCTTTTTCTCCAGAACTACAGGTTTTTTTATTTCCATCCAGCATATTATAGATCAATAAGTACATAAAATGTGTTAACGTTATAAATGCGGCGATATTTTATCGTCTCGATCCAGACATCGATAATATCATTTTGATAAGCGACACTACTGATTTAGCTATTGAGAACAATTTAAAAGAAGCTTAGAATTAAGCAAATCACGTGTTCACCAAACTTTTGGTTAATGAGAAATGTTAAACAGGTAGCAATTTACTCGTTTCTGATTTAAATACTACATAAGCAGCTCAGCTCATTTCTAATAGAATTGGGTTTCTTTTCATGCGGTTAGGGGGCCAAAAAAGAAAACTGTTTCTATAACCTTTGTTTTTATAACGAATAGTGAAATAATTTCTATCCAGTTACACATACACGTTTCAATTTGAGAGCCGCTTGCGATTTATGTTTTCTTTGCAATTGTTGTAACAAGCGTTGGTTGGCTGCCGACGTTGTCCGATCAATAGAAGACAAGGTGCGATTAATACTACGGCTTCGACTGCGACTACGCCGCTGTTGAGTTGCCTGGGCATGTGCTGATTGTGAGGATATCGCTGTGAAGCGTTCATTTAATGATAAACCTGTTGAGTTGGTTACAAGAACTTTGCTTAACGAAGAATTATTTGCCATTTCTATGGATTGCAGGATTTTAAAACGCGATCAATATTTACAATGTGATCTCACAACGTTTGCAAAATATAAACTGCAAAAAAAAGAAAAAGATTTTTACATGTTCGAGGACAAATAAGCAAAGTAGTACAATTTATATTGGCAATTTAAAAGGGTATTGATTACACGCCCACCCGCAGATAAGATCCCACAATTTATTAACTAAAATTCAAAGCACAAAAGAGAATATCTACCAAACTCTAATAGATCTTATATATATTAATGAAAAGTATAATGCAGGCGTGTTTCACGAAAACTTATGAACAAGCAAATATCTTCATTACTAATCGTTGAATAGTGACACATTAATATAATCAAGTATGCTGAAAATTTTTAAATGTGCACATTTGCATATTTCTTGAATCGCTATGGCGTTCCATCAAACCAAACGCAGAACTATGCGGTTGAAATAAAGAAATAAAATATATTCTATTATTATTTTAATTTTAGACTAATGAATTGAATTCTTAGACTAAAAAAAGACATTGAGCACTAGCAACACAGGCTATCGGCTCAAAAAAAAAAATATATTCTAACAAAATGTGCTTTGAAATTATGTCTAAGTTATAGGAATATTACACTTTTTTCCGTGAGCTCAAACCCTAAAAAAGAAAGAAAAAAGGTACATCTACTCGATATCTTAAAGTCATGCTTGTATTTTGGGCGTATTTCTACATATTACATATTAAACCCAAAATTTACCGAGTATACACTAAATACCTGTATGATAGTTACAAAAAAATAATGCATACTAAATGGAAGAATTCAATTGAGGTTATGTATCTTCATTTTTTCCATATTTCTATTTTCTTTCTTTTTTCTTTGTCTTAACACAACTGGAAACTATATAACTTTATCGGGTAAAAATCATTTTTTGCTTACATTTTTCAAGGTTCTTTCGCTGCTTTAGATTTCTCCGCTATGTGTCAGCTTTTTTACACATTTGAATTTTGTCTCCCGAGAACTTTTTACGATTTGTTTGTTTAATTCACCAAAATTCTATAACACTATTATTCCATATTATTATATCTTCATCCACATAAAAGATCCCCTTATTCCTCTATAGCGAGCAATAAAATCACAAAAATGGCTGTTCTTTTATAATTGGCTTTGTAACTAAACAAGATGGCATTCTCATATAGAGTTTCCAAAGTTCAAATTTATAGCTTCAATCTTAAACGCAAGCCAGTGAACTTTCACAAATAACAAATACCTATAATCCTATGAAAACGGCAATAAGAAATAGTTATTAGGATGTGTAATTTAGGTTTTCTTTTCCACTTTTCTACGATACTGTGGGAATTAACTTATCATATGGTTTTGAAAGCCTATAAACAAATAAAACAAGATTAAAACGCAGGAAAAGAAATGAGGATAGTATCTTTCCGATGTCACTTGGTATGAAATTTAGATTTATACTCAATATTACTTTAGAAGGTATGAAAAACAAGTAAACAAGCGATTTATCTTCAATTGAAGATGTGATATTTAAATTAAGGGTTGAAAAAATTTTTTGCTGTGCTGAACTTCGTCAATTCTCCATTCTTTTTCTTGTGAACTCTTCTTATTCAGCAGCATATTCACAGACGAATTAAAAACTGTAGTAGGTATATTCTGCAAATACAACTATGAGTTATGTGTAGCTGGCGGGGCAGGACGTGATATATTAATGGAAATAACACAAAAAGGTGTAGATTTTGGGACGACTGCTGCTCCATAGCAAATGAAAGAAATGTTTACTTTAGAAAAGATAAGAATGATCAATACTAAAGGTGAAAAGCATGGCACGATCACTGTCCGAATATGCGCATTATGTAGTTACTGACGGACGGCGCGTAGAAGTTCAGTTCACAACCGATTGGCAGCTCTATGCTAACAGAAGGGATTTAACCATAAACTCCATGTTTTTAGGGTTCGATGGTAGAATTATCATTTTTTAGAAAATAGGGTAAAGAATTATCATTTTTTAGAAAATAGGGTAAAGAATTATCATTTTTTTTTGAAAATAGGGTAAAATCGAATCTGTAACCACCGTGATGCCGTTCTAAAAGTAAGGCTAATTAAAATATGGTATCTCTAAATGTGACAACATACGGTTACTTACTCTCTATGATTACTTCTGTGGTTACGAAGACTGACAGAAGATGTGTGAAATTTGTGGGAGATACTAATACGCGAATAAAAGAGGATTTTTTGAGGATTTTAAGATATTTTCGCTTTTATGGGCGCATAGCTTCTGAGACTGATAGGCATGATGAATTAACTTTGAAAGCCATTAGAGCAAATGCGCAAAGCCTTGCCCACATAAGTGGTGAAAGAATATGAGGAGAATTGCCAAAATTGTTGCTGGGTAATTATTCGAAAGAAATAATGCTTGAGATGATAAACTGCGGATTAGTCGCGTATTGTGGTCTCCCTCTAAGGCCTACTGTATTAGAATTTAAACGTGTCTGTTTAGCTTTGAAAGACTTTGAAAACCCTCATAAGCCCATACTTTTTATGATTTCGTTAGTGCATGAGAGATTAAAACTCTCAGCATTTGAAAGAGATTTAGCATTCTTTATAACGCAACAACGAGAAAAGATAGTCTCTTTAGCACAAAAAAAAGTTTTCAAATTTTTCGTAACTCTAAAAACTCTTACGTTTAGCACAGTTGTTAAAACATTGACCTTCTAATGGTGAATGAGTATTATATGACTCTAAGAGATTATCAAAAGTAGTGCTTGCAGACCTATATCCGATGAGACTTCGTAGAAGAACTATTGAAATGCAAGTACAAAAGAGCATCGTACGATAATTTAAGACCCTGGGAAGTTCCTCCGTTTCCAGTGACTGGCAACATACTGAAGGATAGGGGATCTATTCCTACCAGAAAAATTGGTTTAGTTTTGGCTCAATTAAAATTAATTTGAGCCTTCAATTAAATAGCTAGGAATTGTTAGAAAAGCATCTATCGCAAGTTATGGAAAACCTGGTCACACCGCCCCCGTCGCCAAATTATGAGAAATTCAAGAAAATTTATTAAAATAAAGCTGGAAAGATATGTACATAAATTTCTTTTTGTATGGTTTGTTTTATTTATAAAATATGTATATGGGCCATTAAAAACCCGTTTTACAATGATCAGGTACATTCATTAACTCGCAGTTCTTAAAACCGACTTCTGCACTTAATAAATATATATGGAAATTCTGGGGAAAAAATTCAATAGCCCGATAGTTATTATATATAGTGTACTAAAAAATATATGAATCCTGTAATCTTCCAATCATTTTTTAAAATAGGCCATCGTGGCGTCTTTTGTTAAAGGTTTTATTGAAAATGGAAGTTGAATAGATGATATATGGAAATGCTAATACTTTTGAAATAAGAATGATGATCTTTAAGGTTTTTTTTAATAGTAGTTGGTTCACGATTTCAATTTTATTCTAAATGGTAACAAAAAAAACGTTGCACAGGCATTTTGACGGATATGTCGTTGTTTGAAAAAGACGCTAGACATAGCACAGCTAATATTTTTTTAATTACCGTAATTCTCTTACGTTTAGCATAGTTGTTAAAACATTGAACATTAAAACATTAAATATTCGCAGAAAAACTTTCGTTCTTTTTTCTTGCGGTTTTGCAGCATACGTTACATTTCGGCAAATGGTAATTTTTTACCACAACTTTTTAAACTTTGTTGAGAGCCAGTAAATAATTTAGATGCTTCTTTCTGCTGCTTTGACAACTATAAGAGAGCATTTCTCACATCTTTTCTGCACATAAAGAGCAAACAAACTCGATAGCCAAATTTAACCAGTTTTGATGTCATAGTAGCTTATTTGAACAGGCCGGTAATTGATAAACGTCTTTGTCCCGATCATCCTACCGTTAAGGAGAACCTCTATTCATAACTCTCTCTTTACACAACGCTATTGTACAAGAGAGAATGAAATGAGAAAAACTCCAAAGTCCGTCTGCATGACGTGAGAATATTTTTCTCTTATGTTATATCTTGCAGTTTTTCTTTTTTTGGAAGGAAAAAAAGGAGTTATGAAGCAAACGTTCAAGGCAAAGGTTGTAAAGGGAACATTTTACAAAGAAGAAATAATAGCATTAATTATGCTATCGTTACCATAAAAATACTCTATTCGATTTTTTGTAACTTACGGTAATGAAGACGCGGCCAATAGCAAATACATAATAGCAATTTCTATATTAAAGAAAATTAAATAAGAAAAAAAGAAAAGTAATCAAGTGTATAAATTTATCTGTGGATATGTTGAGAAAAAAAAAAAAAACGAAACGAAAAGCAAAGCAACGTGAAATTTAAACGATAGACAAAAAGGAAAAATATTAAATAACATGTGTGTAATATCGGTATATGCAAAGTTTGTCTTGGATCCAGAAGTGTGTAAAAGCAAAATTCCATTATCTGGGCCGAAGCACATAAAATGTATTTCAATCAAGATTTTACGCAATAAATGTCAATAAAAAGTGTGCCTGAGCAACAAAACTAATGAACGCTATTAATTATGTACATAGAACATATATGAACTGCATGTAATAATAGTAATAAAAATAGATGTAAAATAGAATCGCTTCGGAGTAAAATAAGATACGAAAAAAAAGGTAGAAAGTTTTGTAATTTATTTTTTGCCTTAATACTGCTTTCATTGTCTGCAAGGGTGATCATCACCGAACTGAGAGCTCTAAGAACTATACTGATCATCGTGCTGATTGTTTTATTTTTGATACGGGAAGTATTGACAGTTTGCCTTTCACAATCTTTCAAAATGGAGTCATCGACTAATTGTACTGTAGATGTGGTATTTGGGCGTGTGTTATATTTTCTTACACAATGATATTTTACCATTCAAGTTAATGTCTATTATTTGCCTGTTTGTTTGCGCATATGATTAAGCAAATATAAATATCGATGAAACTGGTTTTATGCTCAAAGAAAAAAAGAGAGAAAAAAAGCAAGTTGAAACACAAATTATACGCTAATAGCAGCTAAATTTTATTTCTTTATTGATCAATTACGAAAAAGAAAAGAAAAAAGGAGAATGATGACAAACTAAGCATTCTGCATGTACCGCTGAGACGGGGTATCGTAAGTGTGCATGAGTGGTAAGAGGCAGGGGATACAGAGTAACGGACAAATAATGAACCAACGGACGGCAAACAGTACAAACTTTACATGTTTCAGCTGTAAGCGGGAATACCTCTAAAAAAGAAAAAAAAATTTGCATAGCTAGGTAAAATCGTAAAGCTCTGGCGCAAACATATGTATGGCAACAGATTTTTATGCTCTAGTTTCATGAGAATAATTATAGTTTCCATTCCAATATTTCATTTAAAATTTTTTTGGTTTTAGATTTGGACGGACCATAAGTATAGAAAAAAAAGGAGCTGAGCTATAACAAAATATCTTTGAAGCAAACTCAAGCAGAACTAAATGAAAAAAAATAACGGTATGTCGAGCAGGAAAAATTGCAGAGTTAGGAAATTCAGAGGTAGAAGTCGAATGGAGTAAAAGAGCACTGAAATTTGTCACCCCGGTCAAATCTTTTGAGAGCGATTTAGTTTCGCTAGATCCCATGTGATTTTGAAAACGATGACGAGAAACTTAGTTAAATCTTTTATGCTTTTACTCTAATTTGCTCTAAAACTTGATTTTCATTCTTTATATTAATAAACTTTGAATTATATATTTTGTTATTTTCATATGCACTTGTATAATTAATATATATGTATATATTTTTCGTTTTGGTTGAGCTGTTTCTAAGTGAAGACAATTTTATTTAGAATTTATTTTGTTTGCTATTTACAGCTGTTTTTTGTCACAAATGCAACTCTAAACAACCAATGGTACAAATATGAGAGTGTGTATCTAACAGATGTTGTGCCTCCATGGTCCTAAAGTTTACTTTCAGATATGCGATTATGTCCCTATACTGTAATTGTGATTAAAAAGTAGGATTTTTTTTGGAAAATTTAGAGATTAAAACAAATGTTGTTTTGTTTCGTGAGGAATAAAAGGCGTTCACTCGTTTTACCTTCTACAAATCTTTTGGTCGGGTGGAGTGCTAATAAAATAAGTATAAATATAATTTTATTATCTTGTTACAATATACCAAACTCCGAACAATGA